CATCCCCATTTTACAGATGAAAAACTGAGGTTAGCCAGCTAGTAAGCAGCAGAGCCAAGACGGAAACCTAAGCAGCTCAACTGCAAAATCCATGCTCTCATATGCCACATTAAGGGGCTTTGCTTCTAACACATTTTGAGACAACCCCAGGGACTAGATGTCCTCTAGACACACCTCCAGCTCTGACCCTCCCACATCTGTGATGGCTTAAAACTCTGCCCCCTTCTCAGATTTTGCACTGCCTCCTTGTTTGTCTCTCAGCCTCCCACCACCATCCCACTTACAACCCTGGCGAGATGGCCACCTCTGGGTGACAGGAGGATGGGCCGCGTCTTCCTCACTCATCTCTGGACCCACAGTGCCCAGCCCAGGATACAGCACACAGGAGATGCTGAACAAACATTTGTTGAATGAATGAATGGTTGTCACTACTCTGGCCTGGACAGGCCCCTTCACCACCAGCTCTGGTCTCTGGGGCAAAGCCACTCTGATCTTTATTTAACCTCTGTCCCAGAGGAGCTGGAAACAAGGCCCCGCCCCTCCCCTCTGCCTCTGACTTTTCTTCTAGCATTCATGTAATAATTGACACCATCCAAAAGGCCTCCTGTCTGCTTGGCAGGAGGGGTGACGGCAGTGAGAAGAGATGGGACCAGGGGTCTGGAGAGGAATTGGGCTCTGGCTCTAGCCCTCTGCCTTCATCCGCATCTGTCCACTCCCCTCTCTTCTGCCCTCCCTGGACTCTATCTTAGGCCTCATTTTGAGAAATCCTAACTTGGCAGCAGAAGCCACTTTCAGCACTTGCTAGCCCTGGGCCTCAGTTTCTTCATCTGTGAAATGGGGCTAATAATGCCTACTTCCCAGGGTTGTGGGGAAGACTAATGGGCTAAACCCATTCCAGCTGTCGCGGAGTCGAGCCTGGCTCATGGCGACCTGTGTGTGTGAGTACAACTGCACTCCATAGGGTTTGCATTGGCTGATTTTTGGGGACTGATTGCCAGGACTTTCTTCTGAGGCACCTGTAGATGGACTCAAACCTCCAACCTTTGTATTAGCAGCAAAGCACGGTAACCATCTGTACCACTCAGGGGGCTAAGGGGTGTAAAAATATAGTGTTCAGTACTAGCAGAGACTCAGTAAACAGCAGCAGACTATTAACCGAAAGGTTGGTAGCTCGAACCCACCCAGACGCCCCTCAGAAGAAAGCCCTAGCAATCTAATTCCGAAAGGTCACAGCCTTGAAAACCTTACGGAGCAGTTATTCTCTGCATACATGGGATCACCGTGAGTTGGAATCAGCTTGATGGTAACTGGTTTGCTTTTCGGTAATCTGGACTTGGCCTAGTTCCTTTCTGAGGATGGACCCAGGAGCTGCCCCAACAGAATTGCCTCCTCTTATTGGCTTCCAGGCAACTGTGGCTGGATGGCCTCCTGGGTCCCCATGGAAGCCTACGTGCAGGCTGCTCTCCCGCAACAGGCCCTGAACTCAACTGCAGTAAGTCCTCGTAGAACTTCTGAGCTGAGGACACTGGGCCTCCTCTGGCTGGGGCTTCGCCCCTGGGTGTACATGAGAGTCACCTGAGGTGCCCTTTAAAAATTCTTGGTGCCTGGACCCAACGCCCAGATTTAATGAATATGAATCTTTGGGGGTGGTGCCTGCATGTTGCTATTTTTAAAAAGATCCCCAGGTGATTCTAATGTGCAGTGCTGGGTCCCCTCTGGCCTGGCCCAAGCCTCTCATTTCACAGATGGAAAAGCTGAGGCCCAGGGAGCCACGGCAGGTTAGTGGCAGACTGAGGATGAGAAGTCAGGTTCCTGCATTCCTCCTGTTTGGGGCCAGCTAGCAGGTGCTAGAGTGTGGGGAGATGGACTAACAAGGAAGCAGACCCAGGCCAAGGCTCCAGGGACTTTTGCCAGCCTTTCCTGGGGCTCAGTGGGGTTCTGCCTGAGCTGGGCCGCCCCATGTCTAGGCCACACTGGGGCAACTATCCTTTCCCCTTCCTGGGGATCAGCAGTTTCCAGGAACTCAGTGCTTAAAGGTTGCAAAATTCCACATACTCTAGAATTAGGGGGTGGGAAGGAGGTGGGCGAGGCACTGGGCAGGTAGACTGGCTGGCTCAGCCACCTTGGGCAGAGACCCTCAGGCAGCCACAGAGGCTCATATTATGAACCCCAGTGGGAACCGGGAGAGGGACTAGAGAAGGGACAGGTGGGTACACAGCAACCCAGAACCTGTGCCGGCTCTCGTGGTCACTGGGTTTGAGGGCCTTGGCTCACATTCATCAGCACCTACTCCCACTGCCAGCCCTAGACTAGATGGGGCCTGATCCACCTGTCATTGGCACCAGTGGCTGGCCACATGCCAAGTGCCCCATCCATACTGCACAGCCTACCCCTGCTCCTCAGGCTTCCCCCAAACCCTCCCCAGGACCATGGGGACTTGGCCCTGCAAAACAAGAACTTCCATCCCTAGCAAGAATGCCAGGAATGAATCCCTGACACCCACCAAGCTTGGACTCGACACCTGAGCTCTTGGCCATGTAGTCCCAGTCCTGTGGGGAAAGGGGCTTCCTCCCCTTGTGAGGCCCCTGAAGCACAGGCTGCTTGTGTGCCCTTCATCCTGACATTCCAAGGTGTTGGAGGCTGAAGATGTTCTCTTAGGGTCCAGAAGGCTGGAGCCTCCGGCTCTTGCCATCCAGGTGGGCCCGGGAGGCTGGAAGAGGGTCCAGGGAGCCTCCAGCACCAGGTGATTTATTGCAAGAACACCTTGGTGAAGGCTGGTGGAGCCAGGGACTGGGGGAGGCAGAGGGTGACGGAAACAGCAGCAGCAGCAGACTTATTGTTTACGTCTGACGGCCTGACTAGCTAAACATTTGTTTGAAATATTAATAACTGTCAGATGGGAAGGGCCTAGGGGCTCAGTACAGTTTCATACTATCTGTCTGTAGAGTAAACACATTTCAGAGTAGGGGGCCTGGTGTAGGCAGGCAATGTCCCTGTGTAGAGTGGGGATGCAGCAAGAAATGGAAGAGAGGACTCTGGGGTTCAGGGATCCAGAGTGGGCAGGCAGGGGGCAGCAGTGAGTTAAACGCCATAGCATTTATGGAGCACCCACTATGGGCAAGATCCTGAGCTTGTATAGTGCACCTCTACTGCTTTGACCTGCTTGACATCCAATTCCCTTCCTTCTTGGAACAGAAGCCTTTTTGGGAAAGCTTCATTCTTCATCTCACCCCATATAATTTGGATGGGCTGACCCTAATCCCCAGCTCCACTAGGGGGAGTGTAGCCCATCTATGGCATATCGAGTCACAATGACGGGTTCCAGGATGGCTCAATAAGCGGGACCAATGAGAATCAGCTCTGGGACTTTTTGTGTAATTGTGGTAAAATATATAGAACGAAGAATTTGCCATTTTAGCCGTTTTTAAATGTACAATTCAGTGGCATTACTTTCATTCACAATGTTGTGTAACTATCAACACTATCTATTCCTAAAACTTTTTCATCACCCTAAACAGAAACTCCGTATCCTTTAAGCAATAACTCCTCATTCTCCATCCCCTCCAGTCCCTGCTAACCACTAATCTACCTCTGTCTCTGTGAATTTGCCTGTTCCGACAGCCCTGGGACTTTTGTTGGAACTATTGAAAAAAAATTTTTTTTCCCACTAGGGTTTATGAATTGGTAAGGAGTAAGTCTAGAGGGGAGCCCTGGTGGCAAGTCTAGAAGGGAGCCCTGGTGGTGTAGTGGTTAAGAGCCAGGCTGCTAGTCAAAGGGTCAGCGGTTCTAATCTACCAGCCATTCCTTGGAAACCCTATAGAGTAGTTCTACTCTGTCCTATCGGGTCGCTACGAGTCAGAATCAACTCAACAACAATGGGTTTGGTATTTTTTTAAGCCTAGAGATGCTGGTAGCCCTCTGACAACACAGAAAAGCAAAGCCCAGCACTGAAGTTGGACTCCTGCTCAACTGAGCGCCTAGATGCAACTATGCCTGAAATCTACGCTTATGCTTTTTTTAAAAAAAATTTATTGTGCTTAGGTGAAAGTTTACAGTGCAAATTAGTTTCCAATTCAAAAATTTATACACAAATTGTTTTGTGACATTGGTTGCAATCCCCACAGCATGTCAGCACTCTCTCTCTTTCCACCCCAGTTTCCCCATGTCCATTCGTCCAGTTTTTCTGTCCCTTCCTGCGGTCCCGTCTTTGCTTTCGGGCAGGTGTTGCCCATTTGGTCTCGTATACTTGACTGAACTAAGAAGCACATTCCGCAAGTGTGTTATTGTTTATTTTATAGGCCTGTCTAATCTTTGGCTGAAAGGTGGACTTCAGGAGTGGCTTCAGTTCTGAGTTAGCAGGGTGTCCAGGGGCCATAGTCTCGAGGGTTCCTCCAGTCTCTGTCAGACCAGTAAGTCTGGTCTTTTTTCGTGAACTTGAATTTTGTTCTACATTTTTCTCCCGCTCTGTCCGGGGCCCTCTTTACACTTACACTTCTGAGTAGCATGGGCCAATACTTTTTTTTGCTTGAACCACTGGAAAGTTTCTGTCTTTGCAACCAAGAGTACTGACTGATACAAACAGACACTGGGACGAGTCCCTGGTCAAAGGGCCAAGGGCAGCTGGGGATGCGCAGACAGCCTCAGGGAACCCATTTTTCCCTGGTGCTGTCCTCAGATGGGGGGGTCGTCTCTCAGGGATGGCTGGCATCTATCTCACCTACAGAGGGGACTTCCAGGGCTCCTAACCCACCCAGGCTCAGTCCTCATCAGGGAAAAGGCAGAAAACCAACATGTCCTCAGTCCAATCTCATCTGTCCCCAAGCTGGCCTCTTTTTCATTTTGCTGCCTCAGCCAAGGGAACCCCGTCATGGAGAATCCCAGATGCTTTACTATACCAACGACAGCGCCCCCTTCCCTCATTGCTCAGATTCCTTGGGCAAAATCTTGCTGGTCTGTCTGCTCCAGAGAGCTCAGCAGCCCTGGAGGAGGGGGGGACTCACCAGGACTGTCAGCACTGAGGTCCCCACCGTGACGTTCTCGTACAGGCTGACGTTGTACAGTGGCTGGCTGAAGACGGGTCGGTTGTCATTCTCGTTGATGAGGGTGATCTTCACCTTGGCATAGCCCACATGGTCGGGCACACTCTCATTGGCAAAGAGCTGGGTGTGGCGAGCAGGGGGCCGGGTGAGCCCCTACATGCTCCTAGAGCCCTCACCCCCTAAGTCCTCTTTGGGGTCTACCTGCCCCCACCTGGTCTGGGCCAGTAACTGCCCATCCCAGGTGTATGCTAATTTGAATTCCTCTGTCATTGCTCCCAGGGCAAGGCAGCCACTGATTCTGTGGGGAGGGATGGCTGAAGGGGCTGGGCTGGCAGGAGATGGGCTTTAGAGGGTCCTGATGGGGCTTCTGACTGTGCGGTGGTGCCTGGGAAAACTCCACTCAATTCCTGGACAATTCCTCATCCTCAAAAAGGGGAGACCCCACCCAGTCCCTCCCATTCTCAGTGGGCTTCTCTGAGGGACCACACAACGGAAGGGCGGGAGAGACGGCAGGGGGAGGCCAGGGGATGGTGTCACCTCTTGCTTTCCCTGAAATCCGCCCACCTGCCCCAAGAAGATGGAGAAGGGGGCTTACGTCGAAGTCATAGCGATCCACAGTCTCGTAGTCCAGTGGGATGGCTACCCGTATGCGGATGTCCGCTTTCCCTTGGACGGAGGTGGGGGAGATGATGAAGTGGTGGGAGTTGTTCCCCACCAGGTATACCTCGAACATGCTGTTCAGGCCCTGGGGCAAGAATGGAAGAGAAACCAGTCAGAAAGGGCACAGGCAAGGGACAGAACATGAATGGGGCTGAGGGCACTGGAGCGGAGCTGGGAGCTGTTTTGGTGGGAGCGGAGGATGAGAAAGAGCAGGAGCATGGCCTGCCTGTCCCCAACCCCTAGTGGTCCTGGCCTGGCTTCTTCTTCCCGAGTCTAGCCTCCTCCAGTTCCTTCTCCCGTCATCATCCCGTCAGATGCCTACAATATCCCTTCCAAGTGGACTGGTTCATCTTCCATCTCTTGCTTCCTTCCTCTGCCCCAGTGACCCCAGGTGGGTAGGGGTCTGCCAGCCACAACAGCCAGTGGCAGATGGAGGAAAGAGAGGAAGGAGAACAGAGCAGAGGAGGGAGTGGGCATGAGATGTTAGGACAGGGAGGACTCTGTGGATGAAGCAGCACTCCTGCTTCCCCCTCCTCTCTGGAACACGCTCTACCGGGAGAGCAGTCAGTTTGCTTACACACGAAGTGGGAACAACCCCGGAGACTGAGGCAAGGTCAGCCCCCATGCTCCTTGCTGTGGCCAGTGGGGTGACCTGGGGACACTGGACTGAGGATGGGCACTGAGCTGCCATGCCCATCAGGCTTCTCGTATCCCAGGGGCCCAAGTCCATCATTTCAGGGGGCCTCACCCTAGGCTGGGTGTTTCTCATTACTCTAACCAGGGCTGTGGCCAGGCTCACAGAGCTCCTGGGATGCTGCCCAAGCTGTTCTCACACAAAGTGTGTGATGTCTCCATTGACTCAAGTCCCTGAGTCAGAAGGAGGGTCCCCCGCTGAAGGTGGGAGGTACAGCTTCCTGACTCCCCAAGGCTAGCCTGCTTGGAAAGTGACCTAACTTCTTTTTCTTGCTTGCCTGCATTGGGGAAAATGACCCCCAAGGTATCTCCTCAACCTGGGGTTGGTGGGGTGGGGGCAAGTGGCCTGTGGTTTATAACCAACCACTCCTGGCTTTGCTGCAGGCGCCCAGTAGGTTACTGACTGAGTGCCTGATGTCCTACTAGGTGGTCAGTGCTGCAAGGACATGTCCTTCTTGTCCATTCCTGGGAGCCAACCCCTCACCCAGTGCCCGAAGGCCCTCTGGGCACTGGGTCCTTTTCTGCTGAACCCCGTGGTTTGCAAAGGAAGCACACCCTCTCTTTTCGGCTGCTTGGGGAGTGTTGAGGGGCTCCTTTCTAGAACCTGCCCCTGGTCTCGGTTAAAATGGGGATGGTCCCCACAAGGCTTCAGTTCCTATCCCACTCAGGGCAAGGAGTTTTTCCTAGGAAATGACACCCTCAGCCATGCCTGAGAAATCTCAAGAACTCTCGTGACCTGGCTCTGACACCCGGGGGCTGGTCTACAGGCGCTCAAATACATTTCTTGAATGAATGTGTTTTTTCCATCTTATCAATTGGCAAAACAGGGACCCTGCCTGCCTTTAGCCTTTTCTCAGCGTCTGGGAGCAGAGCCTGTGCCGTCTGACTGGCTCAGAGGGTCTGAACAGATCAAGTGGGAACTGAGCTCCTCTAGGCCCTCCTGCCAACCCTGGGGTCCAGGCAAGCAGTGGGGTCTCCGGAGCCCCATTGTGGAGAGGCTCCCCTGCAGATTGTCGGGGTAACGCTTCTCTGGCCTGGTCGGCTTCGGAGCTTCCAGTTCTCCCTGGCGTGGAATCCATCCCGTCAGACAGAGGGGACCAATTAAATGCCCGAAGGGGCACTAATAGGCAAAGCTGGTGGAGTGTGACAGCTCTGGGCAGGTGACACCAACACCTCTCCCTCCCCTGGACCTCGGCTCCTTGATCACAGGACCTGAGGGGGTCGAGAGGGGGTGAGGGGCTGAGCTGCTCCCTCTGAGAAGCCCCCTCCCTCCCGCGCCACAACTCCTCCCCAGCACCCCACCCCCTGCCCTTTGGAGGCTTACTTACCAAGTTCTGTCAGTGGGAGTTGGTCAGTCAAAGGATATGGAGACAGAGGGAAGGAGCCGGAGAGGAATCGAGAAGAGGAAGGAACCAGAGAGAAAAGACACAGTGAGATTCTGGGTCAGGTGAAGGGAGAGGAGCCAAGCTGGACCCCAGGACCACACTCTGCTGAGAGGAACAGCCCCTCTGGCCTTGGATGGGCCACATCTCAGAGGTCCTGAGGAAAGGGAGGTACACTGGGGAGTGGGGAGGCCTGTGCAACCGCCACTGAGAGAAGGGACACAGAGGAACAGGTACAGAGGCACGAAGGTGAGGAGGCCAGAGGAGGCGGCCAGGGCTCCCTCCCAGAGCTCACACCCCCTCCCTCAGCCAGCCACAAACATGAGCGGGCTGGGAGGGGAGGGGCCATATCCCTGAGTCCTCCCTCCAGGAGCCCAGATAAAACCTCTGCAGGAAACAATCTCAAACAGCGTCCTGTTTTTATTATCCTAACATTATTTTTTAAAAAAGATGATAAACACAGACCTGGACAATTTTCAAATGGTTCAAAAGGAAGAAAAGCATCCAAGTCTCCGTCTCCTCCTTGTCCCAGCCACCCAAGAGCGTTCCCCAATACTCCACTCTTGGGCCGCTAAGTGAGCGTTATGTACGTACGTCCCACTCTTTGACACAAACCGCAGCACACAATCAATGCTGCTTTGTGTCCGACTTTTTCCACTTAAAACTAGAGCTTGAAGATTGTTCCATAACAATGTTAACAACTGTAATAATATGTTGCTGTTGTTAGCTGACGGCAAGCCAGCTCTGACTCATGACAACCCCATGCACAACAGAACTAAATGTTGCCTGGTCCTGAGCCGTCTTCACGATCCTTGGTATGTTCAAGTCTGTTGTTGGCAGCCACTATGTATTTTGAGTGCCTTCCAACCTAACAGGCTCATCTTCCAGCACTATATCAGATAATATTCTGTTGTGCTTCATAGGGTTTTCATTGGCTAATTTTTGGAAGTAGATTGCCAGGCTTTTCTTCCTAGTCTCTTAGTCTGGAAACTCCAGTGAAACCTGTCCATCATGGGTGACTCTGCTGGTATCTGAAATAATGATGGTATAGCTTACAGTATCATACCAACACGCAAGCCACCACAGTATAACAAACCGATAGACAGGTGGTGGATAACACACTTATTGAGGACTTACTCATTGCCAGGCACTGTTCTATGCACTTCATAAGTATCAAGTCATTGTTTAATCCAGAAATGATTGGCCTCGTTTTTCTGAATGGCTGCAGGGTGTCTCCACCACTGAGTCACAGTCCCCTGTGTGGTTATTCTGGAATGTCGGCCACAGACCAGGCCTGGACAGAGTACACCCCACATCAGACCACATGCACAGTAGGTGCTCAGGAAGTGACCGGTTTTCAGCATGTGTTACTCTGTGTGATCCGCTTTCCAAGGGCCAGGGGGGTGGAGGTGAAGGAACACTGGAGTTTGGAGATCCCTCCAGAGGACACGGATTTCACAAAGGTTCAGAGAGCTGTCCTAGGTCTCCCAGGGAGCGATGCAGAGGGAGGGATAAAAACCCAGGCCCAGCCCCCAGGCCAGTGCATGTTCTCATAACCTCATGCTGCCTCCCAGGCCAAAGACACTGGAATCCAGCCTGATTCTGGGGCCTTTCCCAACTGCAGCGCCAGAGCACAATGCAAAATGCTCTGGACACTCAGTTAGCAACATTAGTTAGCAAAGCAAAGTGAAATTACAGCCGATTTGTATGTGTGAGTGTGTGAGTGTGAGTGTGTGTGTGTGTGTGTGTGTGTGTGTGTGTGTGTGTGTGTGTGTCCGGTTTTTTCCTGCATTGAGTAAATTTTGATTGTGAGCCCACATTTACCTGATCTTTAATCTGTTTGTGCCTTGAAGGGGCTTATTGGAGGTTTAGTCTTTCAGAGAGGATTTGTTTCCTTCTACTTAAAGCTTTTTAAAACAATTTTTTATTGTAATATATATTACAAAAAGTTTGCCATTTTACCATTTTTAAGTTATAATTTAGTGACATTAATTACACTCACCATGTTGTGCAACCATCACCACTATCCATTTCCAAAAGCTCTTCATCACCCTAACTCAGTACTCCTTAAACAATAACTCACCACTTGCCCACACCCCCACCACTCGTCTGTCAGTTTGTCATACTGTGGCGGCTTTCCTGTTACTGTGATGCTGGAAGCTATGCTACCAGTATTTCAAATACCAGCAGGGTCACCCATGGCAGACAGGTTTCAGTGGGCTTCCAGACTAAGACAGACTAGGAAGAAAGACCTGGCAGTCTACTTCTGAAAAAAATTAGCCGGTGACAACCTTATGAATAGCAGCTGAACATTGTCTGATATAGCACTGGAAGATGAGCCCCTCAGGTTGGAAGTCACTCAAAATATGACTGAGGAAGAGTTGCCTCCTCAAAGTAGAGTCGATCTTAATGCCATGAATGGAGTCAAGCTTTCAGGACCTTCATTTGCTGAGGTGGCCATGACTCAAAATGAGAAGAGAAGGAACAGTTGCAAACATCCACTAATAATCGGAACATGGAATATACCAGGAAAATTGGGAGTCATCAGAAATGAAATGGAACACATAAAGATCAACATCCTAGGTATCAGTGAGCTGAAATGTACTGGTATTAGCCATTTTGAATCAGACAATCATATGGTCTACTAAGCCAGAAATGACAACTTCAAAAGAAATGGCGTCATGTTCATTGTTAAAAAGAACATTTCAACATCTATCCTTTAAGTACAATGCTGTCAGTGATAGGATAATATCCATACGCCTACAAGGAAGACCATTTAATATGGCTATTATTCAAATTTATGCATCAACCACTAAGGCCAAAGATGAAGAAGCTGAAGACTTTTACCAGCTTCTGCAGTCTGAAATTGATCAAACTTGCAATCAAGATGCATTGATAATTACCGGTGATTGGAATTCGAAAGTTGGAAACAAAGAAGGATTGGAAGTTGGGAAATACGGCCTTGGTGACAGGAATGACACCAGAGATCGCATGACAGAACTTTGCAAGACCAATCACTTATTCATTGCAAATACCTTTTTTCAACAACATAAATGGTGATTATACACGTGTACCTTGCTGGATAGAATACACAGGAATCAAATCAACTACATCTGTAGAAAGAGACGATGGAGAAGCTCACTATCATCAGTCAGAACAAGGCCAGGGGCCGGCTGCAGAACAGACCATCAATTGCTCATATGCAAGTTCAAGCTGAAGCTGAAGAAAATCAAAACAAGCCTACAAGAGCCAAAATACAACCTTCAGTATATCCCACCTGAATTTAGAGACCATCTCAAGAAATATTTGACACTTTGAACGCTAATGACCAAAGACCAGACGAGTTGTGGAATGACTTCAGGGACATCATACATGAAGAAAGCAAAAGGTCATTAAAAAGACAGGAAAAAAAGAAAAGACCACACTGGATGTCAGAAGAGACTCTTAAACTTGCTCTTGAATGTACAGTAGTAGCTAAAGCAAATGGAAGAAATGATGAAGTAATAGAGCTGAACAGAAGATTTCAAAGGATGGCTTGAGAAGACAAAGT